GAACCGGCCTCTGGCTCATTCCCTGGCTCGGGAGTTTCCAACTCGCTGCATCCGGGAAAAGGGGGAGAGGAGGAATCACAGAAGCCTAGAACTGGAAGGGGACTGGACAGGCCAGCAAGTCCCGTCGCCTGCCCTCCAGCCAGGGCCAAGCACCGTCTAGACCATCCCTGACAGGAGTCTGTCCAACCTGCTCGTCAATATCCCCAGTGATGGAGATTCCACAACCCCCCTAGGCAATTGATTCCAGCGTTTAACCCCCGGACAGGACGTTTTCCCTGATGTCCAACATGAACCTCCCTTGGCGCCTTTCAGCCCATTGCAGGAACAAAGCAGCAGGCTCATGAAGACAGGGTATGGCTGCTGGTAGGCTCTCTCCGTCTGAACAGCTGGGTAGCTGGCTCACTCCACCTCTCACCTCACTCCACCCTCTGCCCCGCCTCCCCTCTTCACTTCCAACAGCAGTGACTAAGGTCAGGCTGTGAACCCCCCTGCTGCAGCAGACACCTGCACGGGGCCCCTTTGTTAGTCCTGCTTGGGGCACAGAGCTGCAGAGACCTCAGGAGTCATCAAGTCCAGCCCCCTGCCCAAGGCAGGACCAATCCCAACTAAATCAACCCAGCCAGGGCTTTGTCAAGCTGAGACTTAAACACCTCTAGGGATGGAGATTCCAGCCCCTCCCTAGGGAACCCAGCCCAGCGCTTCACCACCCTCCTAGGGAAATAGTTTTTCCTAATATCCAACCTAGACCTCCCCCACTGCAACTCCTTAGTTGGGAGGAGTCCGAATAAGGGTGTAGGGGCTCTAATTTAGGCATTCTCAATGAAAGGCACCTGGCAGGCCCGCAAGACTGATTCACAAGCTCAGGGGACAGGCGGCGAAGGCCTGGCTGGCTGGGGGATATGTATTCCACCACAAGATCAACATTAGCGCTATTTCTTTCCCTCTCTGTGCCCCTTGAATGGGGGAGGCTGCCCCCCTAATCCACTAATAGGGGATGCACTGGATTAACCCAGTGGTTCTCCACCTCGTTACCACTGTGGGCCACAGATGCCACTCGCATTGTGTTATGTGGGCTGCCTCCACGCAGGAGATATAAGATCGGCCTGGCCCTGAGGATGCCATGTGGGTCACTGCCAGGGGGTCTGACAGACTTGCTGGCTCCCTGGACAAGATGGGAGGGGGTCTCTGCACTCCTGGAAGGGGCGGAGTCTCTGCAAAAGGGGCGGGTTAGCACTGCCTGGAGTGTGCCATGCCACCCCCACCCCTGGGCAGCCCTCAGAGCCACCATGGCATGCTGCGTGATGCTCCAGCAGTGATTTAAAGGGCTCAGGGTTCTAACCACTGCTGCTGCCACGGTAGTGGCAGCAGCTGGGAGCCCCAAGTCCCTTTGAATCAGACACCCTGGGGCAGGTGCCTCCTTTGCCCTCTTCTTTGGTGGGTCTGGTTACAGCTACAGGCTGACTGGGCTGCAAGCGGCCCCTGGCGGCGGGTTGAGAACCACCAGGCTAAGCAGTGAAGCGTCGCAGTTGTATAGGAATAAAAAACGTGAGCTGAGGTGTCTCTTTCATTTTTCTTCTCCACTTCCCTTGGCGTGATTCATTTTATGAGTTCAGGGAGATCAAAACTTCACTTAGTCTAAATACGGCTCTTGAAAGCAATTTTCCTCCTTTGGCTCAGTGCAGAGGTAAATACTTTCCTGTGCCACAAACGTTTAGGCCTGTTAATGCAAATTGTGGCTCACAGAGTGATTCTCCCCTCCAAAAAACTCCCCCCCCCCACGCTTACATCATTCAGCCTTTGGAATGCAATGCTCGCTTATTACGGCGATCAGGCAGAATTAAAATTCTCCTCAATAAACAGCTCAAGGTTAGAGAAGTGTCTTTCATGCCAGAACTTGGCGGGATGGAAAGAGGCACTAACCGGGAGGTGACCCTATGTGCAGGCCGGCTTTGAAGACAAAGGCGAGGCGGCTTTCTCGCTGCTCATTCCAAATATTCCATGCCCAGTTTGCCTGCCTGCCGGCAACCCATTCAAATGCAAACTGATTTCAAGCCTGTAATTGGCCAGGGAATGAGACTGCAATGTAAATTTCATCCCCCCCACCCAGCTCTTTGGTATCTTCTTCTTTGCTCAGTTCCCCATATTCCCCAGGGCGGTAATTGATGCTCAGCCCCAGACCTTTTCCGAAAGGGCTGGACAGTCAGAAACAGGCCCCCTTTAAGGTGTCTCAAGTCTACCAGACACTTTTGAGGGCCTTGGCCTTACATCTTGATGAATCTGCCGGCAGTGCTGATCAGCTGGGGCAAGGAGAGAGGCCACGGCCAGTTGGCTACACTGGGAATTGCCATGTTTTTTCCTGGTGGGGCCCCCATGCCAGAGGAGGGAGGCCTCCTTTGTCATTTGTGGCCATTGCTCCTCTTGCTGGCAGTGAAGTAACATGTCTTTGGCCTGGCAGTAGTGTAGCCAGACACAAACCCCATCTTGTTTTTCCACAAACCCCATCTTGTTTCTCCCCCCCCCCCCAGAGAAAGGCAGTCAGCCTTTGATGCCCT